CTGTGGACTGCAACCTCAAGCATTGTGTCAGATTTTCAATCATTTTCTTTTGCGCCTCCATTTGAGCTTGCTGTTGAAAATGCAGCTTTTGAAATTGTTCGGCAGAAAAATTCATCACATTTCCACTTTTCTCCGTCGCCATTTGTTATAATCTCACTGGACGGAACTCCAAAATAACCTTTTACTTCTAGCCCAACCAAACGAAAAGCAAAACGCCAATGACCTTGACAAAAGAACGTATTAATCGCCGTCAACGAACACTGTACAGCGACTGCGGACCTTGGCTGTATTTATAGGTCTCTACTGACCTTCGATTTCTAGGATTGGAAGGTCAGCTGCCAAGGTTAGTGGTTCTCCGTATCTTTTGCCGAGGTGTCAGGTGGCTTTTAATCACGTGCAGAAGAACATTCAGAAACGTTCGAAATCGATGCGATAATCGTTAATAATCGATTAATCGCTAAAATATGGAATATACAAGGCAATTCTTACTTTCTCCCGGACATCCACCATGCCTTGTCCGGTACAAAATGGCACTAGAAAGGGTGTTGCGTGTCGCTACTAGGTTGGTCAAGGGGCTACGAGGACAAACGTAACCCGAACGCCTACTTGTTTTGGGGATGCAGTCAATGCACTATCGAAGGACTAGAGGGGATCTAATCCTAACCTTCCGTATTTTGACTGGGAAGGTTGGTCCTGATTTGTCCGTGCTATTTACTCCTGCTAGATTATCTGGTCTTCGCGGGCATTGTATGAAGCTGGACAAATTTCGGTCCGATCGAATTAGAGTGGAGACACGGTTATCACGTCGAATCATCGAGCGCTGGAACCTGCTTCCAGAAAATGTTGTCAAGGAAGCTACGGTTAAGGAGTTTGAGCGTCAACTGGACGCTCTTGGGTGGCAACACGAAACCTTTCCTTTTACCTGACTAATTCCCATCTTCATACTTCGATTCTATTTTCTTTACTTTTACTCGCCATTGGTATTATTGTCTTCTTTTAACTGATTTCCCCTACTCTCATACCTTCGCTTTTGCTTCCTCTCTTACTTACTTCACGTAACTGACAGCAGGGAGAGATAATTTAAGGAACGTGGGCATTAAATTGGTGAGCCAGGGTGTTTTTTCGGGTGTTTTCCTTTTAGACCCATCAAGAAGTCGGAACATCTATCAACTCCTGGATCGACGACCCGCTCAAGAAGGAATACTTACGGGATTCATCCTATCGTTCCAGTCCCACTTGAACATGAACTTGAAGGGAAACCGTGATTGACCCTTTGCTCTACGTGAGGACTGTGCGTCGCGGGCCAGCCTTCTGCTAGAGCAGGTAGTGAGACCTGATGCAGCTGCTGGGGGAGAACCAGGCGATCGGACCCTAGCGTGCTCCCACCCGTGTCCTCCCTAACGGTGCGAAAAACACAAAATGGGGGAAGTTCGTGAGTGTCAAATGTTCGCGAGTTCGCGAAGGTCAAATGTTCGCTTCAGGCTCGTCATCTCCTCCGGTTCATACATGGAAGGTAAATGAAAACAAGGGCAGTGACGGTGGAGGCGAGGGCAATAGTGAGAGTGACACTTACCGGATGAGGTACGCGTCAAGCGAAACGCAACTTCTGTTATGTGTTTTCAGAACTTGAGCTCAAGTGCGTGTACGCACTGCTTAGATGTGATCGCTTCTTTGGCCACCATGGTTGGGGCGTGGCTCTTTATGTGAGCTGTGAACTTGATGTGTTGAGGGCTTGTGTTTTCCAGTCGCCGGATCAAACTGTTGTTGTTGTGTACTTCCTCTGCTCAGTTTATAGTTGTAGTGGTATATTGAAGTCTTGAAAGTATCTCCATGGAGGTTATTAAGTTTATTCCTACTCTGCCTGCTAATAGGTGTCTAATACTGGGTGAATCAACCTCCCTGAAGTCTGATGGGCTGATCTATCTTGTACTTCGGCAGTGAGAATTTTGGATCTCCTTTGACTAACGCTGCAGCTGCCTTTGCATCAGTTCGTGGGGCTCCCGACTAGATATATGACCAACCAGCTTCCGTCTACCTTCTATCTCATTTTTGCGAAGTCACACGATTTCATAAGTGATATTACATACAGCTGTCCTCTAGGAGCCAGTGACTGCATATCCTTTCGATATGCTTCAAGTGTCATCAGACTACCGCTGAGGCATGTCCAAATATTTGGCGGGCAGACTTTAACGCAATGCGAGACAAAGCTTCAGTTCTGCGTTGCGCGATTACCGTGGCTGACACTGTTGAGACAGCCTAGGAGAAATTTAACGCATACCTCAACGAGATCTATGCTGCTCACATCCACTAATTAAGAAAAGGGAGACACGGGCGCAGCCTCCTTGGATAGAGCATACAGGTAAATACCTGCTCAGGAAGCACTGTAAGTGCTGGCGAACTTACCAAGCGGCTTCATCCACTAACACCTACGAGAGCTATCAAGAAGTTAGCAATTAATGTAAGCAACATCTTAGGACTGTCCGTCTTCAGTACGAGAAGGATATGTCTGTAAGCCGCAATGAATCCAAAGTTCTTTGCTTACGTAAAGGGCGCAGCGGTGCAAACTCGTCTATACCAGCCTTACTACGAGCGAACGGGACCAGTGTGCATACCGACTATGATAAGGTTTGTATACTTAGCGAAAAGTATACTGGTCCATTTTCGTGAGACATCTCTGGTCACAAGAGGCGGAGGATTTTTGCCTAACCGAAATCAGCTTAACGCAGGCACAAGTCCTCAGGCTATTGCAAGTTCTAAATCCTATTAAAGTTTCTAGCCCTGATTCAATTCATCCGTAACTGATGCATGATTTGGCCGCTGAGCTAAGTGGCCCTCTCACATGCGTGTTTACGATTTCGCTATACAGCTGTGCCTTACCTTCGGAATGGAAGGAGACCCGATTTTTAAAGGTGGTGACAGCGCTCTGCCCGCGAACTATCATCCTGTCACCTTGACAAGCATAGTAGTCAAGTTGTTTAAAAAATTGGTCAGGGATTCAGTGGAGTATCATCTGAATAAGTTTAACCTCAGTGCTGCACAGCAATGATGCTGCAAGGGATTTTCGTGTCTGACAAATTTACTTGTAACTCGTGAAAGCTGGGCTGAAGCAGTAGACAACGGTCACGCTGTCGACGTGCTTTTCTTTGACTTCTCGAAAGCATTTAATACTGCCCCACATCAACGACTCATTAAAGTTGAAATCGTATGGGATATCTGGGGCCCCCCTTAAATGGGTATCTGCTTTCCTGGAGGGAAGGGAACAATTTGTACAAGTGTGCCGTAATCTTTCGCTTAGACAAGCTGCTCCTAGTACCGTTCCGCAGGGCTCGGTTTTAGGGCCGTTGCTTTCCGCAATTTCTGTCAATGACCTACCCCAGGAACTTGAAGTACCGTCGCTATTGTTTGCTGATGATCTCAAGCTCTGGAATATTGTGGATATCCCTGGGGTCTCCGAGGCAATTCAGAGTGCCTTGTATAGTCTCTGGAATTAATCAACGTTATGGGTGATGCCTATAAACCAGGTGAACTGTTCTGTTCTTCGCATTGGAGGTGCTAGCCCCGTACGCGCTGTTTAGTTGGTGACAGTGAAATCCCTGTTGTCACTCAGCAGGTTAATCTAGCTATCGTCCACACCTTAGTGCTTCACTCTGGGGACTGTTGGAGGAAGGCTGGTTGTATAGGGTTCCGTATGATGTGGTCTATTCGCCGCTCCTTTGGTATCCTAACGGCCGATATTTTTGTGAAGCTGTTATCTTTTGTGCGACCCTACTTAGAATACTGTATCCAAGCTTGTTCTCCCGGTATGTTAAGAGACAAAATGAAACTGGAGGGATTTTTGCCAATGGGAACAAGGTTAGTGCAGATATTACGGGGGCAGACGTATCCCAAACCTTTGCTTAGCTTGAGTATGTACTCATTGCACTACCGGAGAATTAGAGGAAACTTGTTCCTCATTTACCGTATCCTAACGGGCAAGATCGGTCCAGATTTGTCCTTGCTACTTAGTCCCGCCAAACTGCTTAGTCTCTGAGGTCACCCTGTGAAGCTGTACAGACTGCGTTTTGACCGGGTAAGGTCGGAAACTCGCTTGTCGCGCTGAGTTATTGAACGTTGGAACTCGCTTCCGGAGCACTCGTTAGGGAGTTTACGTTTGAGGGTTTCGAGCGTCAGTTAGATACTCTTGGATGGTAGTACCAAACCTTCATCTCCTAACCGACTTTCTGTTCGATTTTTTACTGTTTCCTCTCATATCTTGTTATTGCCATTATTTATCTTACATTCCTTTTCTAGTTTTCTTAACTTACCCTTCAATCTTTCTCACTTCACATAAACCGGCCTGGCAGGGACTGCTGGGCAGGAAAATTTGGGCTGGAATTGGTTTGCCTGGGTGTGATGCGTTCTTTGTTTTAGACTTTCCAACATTTCAAACAGACCCATCAATTTCCGATCCAACGATACGCAAACTAAGGAACATTCACGGGATTATCCTATCGTTCTGGTTCTAACTGAACTTGTACTTGAAACTGTTACGCTGTACTATTTTGCCACGCTACCGCACGTCTTGCTATTTCTGCCGTTTCCTATTACGATTGCAAACCCATTCGTAAGTTGATTACTGTATTTACTTTATATTATAGAACCACGGTAATTTGAATTTACCTTTTAGTTTCTCTGCTCAGACCGTGCTATAGTATAGGTTTACTAGCCTTCAGTTTCTTTCCCCATCTCATGCGACTACCTAGTCTAGGCTTCAAATAGTCTTCACAACAAGATCTGTTTTAGGCGCCCTTAGGAGCAGCTCATGAAGATGTTGATAGAACTGGTCCTTGATTGCATCCGAGGTGCATCCGACATGGACGCGTAGACAGAGATCACGAAAAGAGCACGCTTGCCTGCGCGATACCTGCTAACCTTACAAGAGCCACGGGGCCTCGCAGTGCATAGGCGACTGTTGACTGCAATCCAGTCAAGGAGGGCGGCATCGGCTCTAGCACTGAGGGCGATTCCTACACCAGCTTGCCCAGATGCAGCGGACTCAGCGTCAACAGAAAGGCGAAGACAGAAGCGAGTGTGTGGTAGGACTGGTAACGACAGCTGGTAGACTGTGTTGGAATCCTGCAGTCAAGTTTCACTTAGGCAGCAGACACCAATTTCCTTGGTCTCCAGCCTGCGTGCAAGTCCGGCTTGCTGTCCGATCTGCAGTAATGTACGCACGTTGAGGGTTGCCAATTTGAACTGCATTCCACGTCGCAGTAGCGAAGCTGGCAGACTTCGGGGCTGATAGCTTTCTGTGTGGGGCTGTGTTCCAGGACGTGGTGGGTTTTCGCCTGGCAATTGCTTTCTCTATAAAAAAACCACATGTCTGCTTAACAACACAGTGACGTGGCGGATGTGACTCGCAACTAAATAAAATCACTGCCCTTTGCTTCATACTGGCTAAGCATTGTATTCTAGCAACATAATGCTGAAATTGTATGGAACATTGGGCCCCTGTTTGGCAAAAGAACAAACGAAAGGCGTAGGAACTGGACAATCAATCACCGGCTCCCAATGGGCGCGATTCTTTGAATTTGCTCCGCTGCCTTGCGGGCATACCATTCGGCCAAAAACCCTGGGTGGTGCCCCCTAAGTCGACACCCTACTCCGGCTTGAACAACCGGGTAGTATCTCGCCCTCTGACGAAAGCATGGACTCATCCTTGTGTTGTGCTTTTATAACGATATCTGAACTTTCCTTTGACTTCCATGCTTTTTGACGGCTCTATATCTAATGGTAGGCTGTTGGAAATTATATCTATATTGGTTTTACAATCGCACGCGAGGTGGCGGTTGGGCTTCGAAGGTTTGCTTGAGGAACTCCAACTGGAGCCTTTGTCTCTCTCTCTCTCTCTGTGTCCAGCCACAGGACGCCTGCGCTTACAGAGGGACCACGGGTGGCTTGCGCTGCACCACCCACAGCTCCAACCGCACACCCCATATCCAGTGTAAACCCGAAGGAATAAGGCCGGGAGGTATGTGGATGGGAGCCACGTTTCATCAACGGAGCCGGCCCACACTCCTTCACAGGCAAACACAAGCACACTGTATTTGGGAATCAAGTGCACACAAGGTGGTGGCTGGACCGTAGTCCGCTCCACACTGAGTGCATGGAACCACCCTTTGATCCTAACATGGCCATAAGAACCGTGCACCCCGTCCCCTCCAGCAACGACCAACTGTCTCCTGGAGCCAGTATGGACGAGGTAGTGGGTGATATACAGGTAGGCACCTTGTCAACATGCACATCAAGCACAGCCACACCGGGGATATCAAGCAACAGCCAATCACTTGAGAGAGAGGGAGATACAAAGAAAATAAATCGATTAATGCATAAGGAAACGTGACAAAAATCTTAACTTAATGAGCATATGAAATAAGTTGTTAACAAAAGATCCGAGATAAGTTTAGGGGGTCAGAAAGTATATTTTACGAAAATGTCACAAACGCGAAAATGTTATTGAAATTAACTACAATTGGCTTAAGCGACGTGTGCAGGTTTATAGGAGAGCGTACAGGTGGACATTTATTTGAGAAAGAAAAGCATTAAGACAAAATTGAAAACCCACCACCTGAAATATAGAGACTTAGCATGCAAGCACGCGGTTAGTTAATCGAATGCAGCGTACCTACAAACGTTGAGCTGGTTCTGAATACTTCTCTGCAGAACCCGTCGTCGCTTCAGTAGTAGTCCCTCGCTCATGGCTCACTAAGCCTGCTTGACTCAGGCACACGCGACCACATGTGCTACAGCATCATGCGCTTGATATCGATGGCGAACAACCCATCGGTGCTTGCCGCTTCCGCACTTGCCCTTTCTCTGCATACATGAGGGATTTCTGCCGCATCTCGGCAACTGCCTTCATGATCAGATGGCGTCATGCACGCCGATCAACCGCCTACGATTTCCATGATCTGCAATCAAGATTAGAACGTGAGACGATCACTTTAATCATGTCCTGGTAATGTACCTTTAGTTTTCCCACGTGCCGCTTCCCTATACTCAGCTGACCACATAAGAGTTGCTTCGGTATCCGCGTCGAATCCAAACGGCTCACATGACCGATCCTCCTCAGAGGTCTCAGCAAAAGTATGCAGTCCACTGCATACGTTCCACTACGGCGCAAGACTTCCGTGTCTGCAACTCTGTCACCCCAACTGATGCGCAAAATTCGTCGCAAGCACTGATGATGGAGCCGCTCGAGATATCGCACATCCCGCCGGTACATCGTCCACGTTTCACTGCCGTATAGAGGAACGGACAGTACCATGAATTTGTACACCATCAGCTTCGTGCCCATGCTAAACTGATGGTTGTTCCACACTCGGAACTCAAGCTTCCCGAATGTCGCCTCTGCATGCGACACGCGGATACGAAGCTCACTGTGTATCTGCTGATCAGTCGACATCACGCTCCCAAGGGAGTAAAAGCGGGAGGTGGTTTCAAATACTTCGGCACCAATGCCGATTCGCGGCAATATTAAAGATTGCACCCCCGTTGAAGGCTGAAAGAGACAGACAGTTTTGCTTGTGTTGATGGTGAGCCCGAATTTGGCCGCTGTCAAAGCCAGAGCACTAGTCATATGCTGCAACTCCTCCGCGCTGTGTGAAAACAGCGCACAGTCATCAGCAAACAGCAACATACGGATAGTTGTCCTACAGACTAGAGTTCTCGCACCGAAACGACGGATGTTCAGCAACCCACCATCAATGCGGTGCTCCAACCGAACGCCGTAAGCACAAGCGGTATCAAAAGCACAGGATGACATTGCGTGAAGATATATTAATCGGGGCAGGAGCTTAGACATAGCCTTGTTTCACACCAGAAACAATTGCAAAGTCATCCGAGGTCTCTCCACTTAGCTGCACCGCCGCTCGCATACCACTGTACAGACATTCAACTAACCTTATGAACTTACGCGGGCAACCAAACCTACCAAATACCAGCCACGAGTCCTCGCGGTTCACCGTATCAAATGCCTTGGTGAAATCAACCAAAATCGAGTACAATGGCTGGTGTCATTCGCTACACTTCTCCTGCAACTGACGAGCCGCAACCACCTTATATATATTGCTGCGACCCGAGCGGAATCCACGCTGCTCTTCCGCCACGTTAGGTTCCACAACCTGACTGACGAGGCGGTTAAGCAGGATTCGGGCAATCACCTTGCCCACACAACTCAGCAAGTTGATGCCACGAGAATTCGTGCAACATCGCTTGCCCCCTTTACACTTATACAATGGTAGCACAAGGGCATCCTTCAGCTCAGGAGGCACCTCCTCCCCAATCCATACACGTTGCACCAAGTGGTGCAGCGCAGTCACCAACGCGGGTCCGCCGTGTTTCAATACTTCAGGCGGGATCCCGTCGGCTCCGGACACTTGCCGTTTCGCAGCTGTGCAAGTGCTCTCTGCCTCCCATACACTGTAGGCGTGTCTGCCAGACGCGCCTTCACATCGTGCTGCTTCAGGCAGTTCAATATAGGTCAGTCGATCTCTGAACGGTTGTTCAGGAGACAGTCAAAGTGTTTCCTCCAGATCTCCATTATGTCTGTAGTCTGGGTGCAGGTAGCGCCTGAACTACCATCGATCAGTGTCCTCAGCGGCTCCAATCTCGGTCCATACACCGCCTTCAAGGAGTCAAAGTATTCCTTGTGTTGGCGGCGTTCGGCGTAGCATTCCATCTGCTTCGCCTTCTCCGTCCACCATGCATTTTTAATGCGACGGAGCTCTCGGGTCAGTCGCCGTCGAAGTTTGCGAAACTGACTACTCTTCCCCAAGTTACCGGGGTCCGCGACATGTGCAGCAAATGCTGCATTCTTCTCCGACACCAATGCGCCAATCGTCGCATTGTTGTCATCAAACCAATCAGGCCGCTTACAGTTTGTGCGCCCGATGGTCTCCTCGGCAGCAGTTGTCACCTGGTCGCGAATGTGGTGTCACAGGTCGCCCACTATGGCTATGCCTTCCACATCACACAGGCGTGCAGCCATCGCCTTCTCCAGCTCAGTACATTTCGTCACAGTACCGAGGGAGAGAATGTTAAATTTACACCGACTCACGGCGGGAGTGCAATATATGGATTTACGAAGATACGTGTACAGTTTGGTCCTCACCAATTTGTGGTCAGTGCCACACTCAGCTCCACGCAGTACACGTGTCATGCGCACTTCACGCATATCACGCTGACGTACGATGACATATTCGAGCAGGTGAGCGTGACCACTCCGTGGGTGCGTCCAAGTTGCTATATCACTCGCACTCAGTGCAAACCGAGCGTTAGTGCTCGTCAGGCCGAGTGGCACACAGTGAGCGCAGCCTGTCACCGTTCGCATTCGCTGAACCAATGTCATGCGAACCGACAACATCTGTCCACACCGATGCATCACGCCCAACGTGCGCGTTGAAATCACCCAGCAGAAATAGTCGGTCGTTCCTCGGCACAGACCGTATCACGGAGGATAACTCAGTGTAGCATTGATCACGCGTGTCATCAGAATAACACATGGTCGGACCGTACGTGCTTATAAAGGTGTCAAACTTACCTCTTCCGAGTCGTAGGCGAACA